TGACCTTGTGCCACAGTGGCGTGAGGCTGGTATTAGCCCTAAATGGCTTATATGGCTAGTAATGTATGACGTAACTACCTTGCTTTAGACGACCCCAGGTTTTTTGTGGCTTAGCTTTATGCAATTCTTTTATTCTTTTAGGTCGTAGTCGCAACGCGCCACCGCCACAGTGACGTAACAACCTGGCTTTAGACGACCCCTAGAAATAGTAATAATTTAAGGGTAGGGTGTACAAATTTCCAATTTCATATAAAATATATGATTTACATGTAAACATCATATGATTTACCAATCAGAATTAGCAATTCTTTGTACTACCTAGGGAAAACACAAGCGATCTAGGAAATTTTAATTATATGTGAATGCATATTGCGCAACTTCAATATTATAAATGAATTGTTTAAATTACATATTATATAAATGTTATACAAATTGGTTAAATATTAAAAAGTTTTATTAGAAGCATTTTTTATTTACTATATAAAAATCTAATATACCACATAGAACATATAAAAAATGATCTACATACACAGCAATCAAGTGGTAAAATTATCTAAAAAAAAAAAGAAAATTTTGAAATTCTCTCAACAAAATAATTTATTATATAAGTTATTTTCCTTAAATAACTCTCTATTATTCAAACACTAATAATGATTTTATTAGTCGAAAAGGTGATCAACGCAATAAACTTGGTGTAATTTTGCAAAAAGTTAGGAAAACTTTATAGGTGAAAGGGAACGAATCGAACTAAAAGTGTTAATTTAGTTTTATATGTATCAATTTGGAAATATTTTTAATCAATAACTAGTACATGATCATGTGGCGGCTTTGCCGCCAACTAATAATTAGATATAACAGTATATGGTACAGACACTGACAATTTGATAATACATGATTAATTGTGAAATCAAAAAATATATATTAAAATTCATAGTTCTTGGCTTTGCTCGAGCTTTAAGTTTTTTATGTTTTGCCTCGCTTCGCTCAGCAGTTTTAAACTCTACATTTTTTTTTACCATATTTCAACAATCATTAATGTTTTGCCTCGTTTTGCTCGGTAGGTTTTAAGCTCTACAGTTTTTTACCATATTTCAACAATTATTAATGTTTTGCCTCGCTTCACTCGGCAGGTTTTAAGCTCTACAGTTTTTTTACTGTAAAAAAAAAGGGGACACTTGAACAATCGTGAACCCATTTATATCACATTTTATATAATCACATTTATAATGCATACATAATTATAGTGAATGTAGTACAAACCCTTGCTACAATGTACATATGTACATACGTACATACATATGTACTAACTTAAATACGCAATTGATAATATTAGCACCAATATAATTAAAAGTTGTATATAAGATATATTCAATTAATTTGCTTATGCTATCTTTATAATTATACTAATTATTATTATTACATGTCATAAAAAAAAACAGAAATAAATATATTAATGTTGCATATATCTTTTTCTGAAAAAAAAACAATTATCAAATAAATTAAGGAATACTATCGATCTGATCCAATTCTTTACTATAGAATACAATATGTATTACAAGTACATTAAATGCATCACAGTCATTTGGTATAAAGTGTCGTCTCCACATATATTCAGAAAAGTAAGAATCATATAAATCTTTAACTGTACTGTACCGTGGAAGAGATGCTTTTGTTAAACGCCAGTTTGATTCTATTGTGTTCATATGCACTCCTGTTTCAGGATCTTTAAAATGTTGTGAATGATTAACTTTTCCATGTTTCTAGCCATGTCTTTCAAATTCATCCGTTTTATAAGCAGACCAACAGTCGCTATAAATCATTGTTCCCTTTTTAATGTATTTTTCTAAAATTTCAAGTAATGTTTGTTCTGTTCGATTTGGAACTGTTATCATGAACATTTTGTTTAAATCTCTTTCAATTCCACTGAATACCCACTGTCCTTCAACCCTTTTTCCTTTGTTATACTTCCATTTTCCAAATTTACTTTCGTCGATTTCAACAATTTTTCCGTTCTCACCAATATTATATTAGCTTGATTCAACAACACAACAGTACATATTTCTTGACAGAAATTGTACCAGTCAACCATTGTATGTGGACTAACATTAGTCTTAACAGCTGCAAATTTTTGTGGTAACTTATGAGACCAACAGAACATTATCTTGGCAATTTGTTCAAGCAATAAATTAAATCTTGCCAACCACGTGTTTGATCTTAGAGTTGTTGCATAATTACAGGTAGATTTCACAGTACAAACCCACTTTTGTTCATCATTACATGAACGATCCCTGGACTTTCGCATTAAATTTTGACACCTTTTACAAGTTCGTATTTTAGGAAAAATACCAAAATCTTCAAAGAATTTCACAGCACCTTCCGTAGTCTGAGTATCGTAATAGATATCACCATAAGTTTTTATTTTTAATGGTTTTATTAATATCATAGGAGAAATATTCTCTTTAATATGTTCGCTCATGATAATAAAAAAATTAACAATGGCTTGAAAACAATGAAGTTTATTAAATATTTGTTTGTTCAACAATCGTGATAGAAATTTAATCATACCTTAGATCAAATCCTATTTATTTAATTTTTACATTATGCATCATATATATTTTACCTCACTTTTACTATACTTATCTATTTATACTAATCACTGTTATCATAACCCAGATCAATTTATTTCCTTGATCGCTTTGCTACGCCTGTCGGCTCCGCTTCGCTCCCTTATACTAACCCCAATGAAGCCCAAATATTTATTAGAGGACACCCTTACCCTAACTGTTAGGCCACAGATATTTATTAGAGGACACCCTTACCCTAACTGCTAGGTCTCTAATATTTAAGAATAACTATACATTTATAATCATAGTATTTTTATGTAGTTAAAAACTATTATGTAATGTCTACATTTGTATTATATATGTATACGTAACACATATCCACATGATAATATAATATTTATATATTATACGTGATAATATCAAGGGTGATAAATTATACATTAAGGGGTAAATAAATGTGATATAAATGGGTTTACGATTCTTCAAACTACCCAAAAAAAGAAGTCGTATGTAAAGAACTTACTTTCTATAGAAGTGACAAAAATGTATATGATTAGTTAGAATTAATGTTCAATAGAGCATTATTTACTGTAAACAAAAAAAAGGTTGCATGTAAAGAACTTATTCATAAATACAGAATTAGCCAGTTTAGATTATTGTTATGCACTCCTTGAATATGTGCCAGGTTTGTAGCACAGATTTTCTGAATTACGAATCAGATCTCATGATTAGATGTGAAGTAACATGACTAAAAAAATTTAAAACAAACATTCATTTTATCAAAAATTAGCAATTTTTTGAAAAACTGTGTAAGAAACCACTTTTAGTGCTCTCACAAAAAAGTTTTATTGTGCAATCTTACTACATACCTCTATATTGTTTAAGTATAATATAGATGCTTAACCTTAACAAATTTAACATAAACTTTAAAGAATTTGTCTAAGCCACAAGCCTGGCACACAATTGAGAATTGCAATTGTTATGCAGAGTGATATTACTTTTCTGAAATTTCAAGTCACATTTTAATAAACACATTATGTATGCACATGTGTTGTATATGTTCAAAATTAAGTAGGGGTAATGAACAAACTTAAACAAATCTTTAGCCATGGTTTTTTCTTATAATTTTTGATGATCGTTGATTATCAATCCATCAAGCCAGTAAAAAATCTGAAAGAAATAAAATCAAATTTTAAAAAATAACACCTAAGGTCGTAGAATAGAGTATTCATAAAAATGGTTAAAAGATATGTTTTAGTAAGTGCCTACCTTATTTTAATGATTCGCAAAAAATTTTTTTTTTTTTTTTTTATTATCCATAAACATATAGTATATAGTACAGTCGGGGAATATACCAAATTAGGATAGTGCAGATCGCACCTTTTATAGTAACAAGATGTCGATCAGAATATTCTAGATTTTCTTAGATTGTTTTAAGTGTTATAGTTATATAGAGGTTTTGCAATAGAAAGAGTCTAAATGCTACATATAATATATAGCATTTAGGCCTTTCCTAC